TTAAAAGGTTTCTCTCTCCTTGTTTATCTTTATTTATTTTTACTTTTCACATCAATTTTTCACTTGTAGCATGAGCTTTTCCTTGTGTCATTCTCTATTTTACTTGATAAAATACCCTTGTGACCACTATGATTTAAACCACACCATATCATGTATATTTAAATACATCTAGTCTGTTGCAAACAGTGATTCCATGTATCAAACCAGTCACAACTGATAGATAGAATTTGTCATCAGGTTTCTTGTTTTTACCATTCCCTCCCTTTGTTTTAAATTACTGTATTTCACATAATGTTTAGTGCTTCTGCCCATTCAAAGAAGGCCTACTTTGCATTTCAGAGCATTGAAATTATAACTTGCTATAATAAAATCCTATATTTAAAGGTCAGAGCAATAGAAAGTGGAGGTTCTCCTCTCTGATATTTTCTGCCTGGGTCACATATGATTGTGGATGAAAGCCCAGTTTATTCAGAGGTCCTCTACAATGATGTATTCTGTGTCAGGGGGATGTAGACAGGAAAAAAATTAGGACTATAGCTTTCCTGTGAAATACTGTAGTATAGCTAGGTACATAACTATGTGTGGAGTAGTCCTCTGAGTAAGAGAAGAATTAGTTGTTACAAACCTCTTCCAACAAAACATGATACAATATGTGACAGTACACAAGACTATTTAACCTAAGTTAGGTGTGAAACAAATACAAATTTTAAAAATGTCATAGATACAAAAAGGCAAAGATTAAGCATGAAAAAGACACACATAGCAAATGGCATTTAGACAAAGCTCCACAATAGGTTAAGGTTATAAAATACTGTCTTTTTTTTTTTAGATTTAAAGTAGCAATTATAATGAAAAAATGTTTTAAAAAACATATATGCTTAGGATATAAACATGAAATATATAACATACAAGAATATTTGATTATGCCATCAGTCATGTTAAAATACAGTATGCAGCCACAGCTGTGAGCACAGGCTGGGAAATGATTGAGTCGAGGTGATCAAGCTCTTTTTTTCATTGCCAACGATTCCTTTCCCACAGCTGCTTTTAAAATTTATGGAAACAAATTATGTCCCATACTGCATATGTTGTCAATCAGGTGAGTGATAAAAGTGTAAACTTCAGGTCTGCTGTAAGACACCACAAAGCAATTTAGCTTGGTTATTTAAGTCCTCTGTGTGCACAGAATAAAAAAATGACCTCCAAGAGGCTATGTTTGAAGCCAGCTGTCTCATTGCCACTGTCATTTGGACAATGAAAGAGAGAGCTATTCTGTCAGCACGGTTTTATAGTAGAAGATTTGACCTGCAAATCTCAGCTACTCTGTTCATTATAAATCTCTTGTTTTTGTCCATACACTAGCTCCACTATAGGTTGGAAGGGCTTAAAGATGAACTCAGGAGGAATAGAGGCTACGACTCGAGAGTAACTATTACTGCTCAAAGGAGCTGCTTTCCATTCGCAAACATTGCTTTGCGCTATGGGTTTGGGCTCCTTCTGTTCCTCTACTTTGTTGAAGACTCTTTTTACTCATTTTACTTCTTTAGCACTGTCTTTGTCCACTAACATTTTTCCTCTCTCTAGTAGCTTTATCTGTGTCCTTTGGAGCACATATTTTTAATTAGTTTGTTTTAAGAGATTGTTTCTGAGTTGTTGTGTTTTGGTTTGGTTTGGTTGGGTTTTTTTCTTTAGGAGTGTGTTGTCGTTTCACTAGGTTTCATTCCACGGTTTGTTGAATTGCTTGATTATTTTGCAGCAGGCCCATTCCTTATTTTCTCTTTCCATGTGGTTTTCAATAAAAATTAGAGTGCCTCTTTCATTTTAAATGATATCTTATGCATATAGACCCATCTCTCCTTTTGCATACCACATCTTTGGAGTCATCCTGTACCAACCCCAATTCTTTCTCTGTCTCTCTTTCTCTGTCCTTCTCTCTATGTCCCTGTCTTTCTCTTCCACTCTCTCATACCATTATACCTTCTTTTTTGGACCAGAATTGTTCTTCAGTAAATCATAAAGAGATATTTTCCTCTTCCACTGAGTTATTATTTTATCCTGTCTGTGAAATCTAGAAAAACAACTCTGGGCCAAATTGGGGCATCACTGACATTTTGTTTGGAATTTCCCTTTGTGGTATTTTTGCTGGGAAGAAGGGTGGGTTCAGTTTTTTGTTTATTTGTTTTTAAACGCAACAATTTTTTTCAGGGAAGGACACCATAAACCACTCTAAGTTGCAACATTACTGTCATAAATTATTCCATTACAATAAATAGACTATGTTATGCTGTAGACTCCAGTTTGTTCTGTGACTATACATTTGGGGCAAGCTGCTGTGGATGGAAGAAAGAGGATTAAATATCAGGGAGGAATCAGTTTCAGACTTAAGAGATGGCTCTATTTTGAAAAGAGAGTAAAAATGGCATTTTGGGGTTCATCATTCCTCCATCATTTCCAGATTAAGTTACGGGCAAAAAGATGTCTCTCTTGGCACCAGCCCAGCAAACTTGGTTTGATAACTGAAAGTTAAACTGGGCTCTTTCTTCCTAAGCTGTCTTCATCAGTGATAAAGATTTTTTGGAGAAAATTATGCCCTCAGTGTACCCTGTGCAACTCCATTATCTGGGAATCATTTGCTCAGCTGTAATTTATTAACCCTGTAATTTAAACATAGTAACACTTGTATTGATGAAGCACAAAAAGGAAAAGAATCCAGTTTACACTGTCTTTAGGACTTATCTTCCCTGCAAAGTTCAGTTCAATTATATAAATCAAGCATTGGTCCTCACCTGAGTCCCATTCTCACACAAAAGTCTGTCACTCAAATGTGGTGATAGTTTTAACACAAGTTGGCGAGTCCACATGGAAGTAAAAATTACAGTTTAAGATGCAACAATTAATCACATCATCTGTGCCTCTTGAATGTTGTTTCATGATGTGGCCGTTAGGCAAACTTGAGAGAAATTAACTCAAGGGTAGATACCTTGAGTTACCACAGCAGTGAAGACATAGGCCCTTTGCACACACCACAAAATTGACCTTTAAAGCAGCTTAAATGCCCTTTTGCACTGCTTTAATGGTGCGACTATTTACACTGTCGGCAGCATATTGCACATTAAATGACCTTGGGACACAGCAAAATACAACATGTCCAAGGTATTTTACTTTGCTACCTTACAGCTGTGGAGGGAAGTACCAGGCCCTGTGCAGCTCAGGGGCTGTGTAGGCAGCCTGGTGGCAGCCCGTACAACCAGGCGTCACTGAAGGGGGTAAAAAAGCAGCGAACTTGAACTTAATTTTTTTTCCTCCCCGGAGCCTACCTGCCTGAGCTGCTTGGGGGCCCGGTGCTTTCCTCCACGGCTGTGGGGGGACTGGTGCTTCCCTCCATAGCTGCGGTGCCCCCTGGGACCGCCCGGGCTGGGTGCCTGCAGGCAGGTGCCACCTGGGGAACGTCACTGCCACCGCGGAGGGAAGCACCGCCCCCTCTCCCCCACCACCCCACTGCAGCTCAGGGATCACTCAGCCCGCTGGCAACTCACCCTCCCCTCCTCCCCTGCCATCAGAGAGGCAGGTAAGGATCAGACCCAACGCTTGTGTACATGCCATGGGGGTTTACTTTGCCCTAAATTGAAGCAGTGTTTTTAAAAACACACCACTTCAATTTAGGGAGAATTAAACCGAAGTAAACCCCCATGATGTGTACAAGCAGCCATAATCCAAGCAGTGATGGCTCTGTAGAACTAACACTAACAAAAAATTATTATATTATCCATAGCAAGCAGATGTCATTTTAAATAAATGGGATTTAATTTACCACTGTTATTTCAATGTTACATGAATGTGCACTATTAATTTCATTGGAGTTACACTAGCTTAAAGCTTGCAAAAGTTAAGGCACCTTAGGGTGTCTTTACATGTGCTTGAGGGAGGGGGAGGGGTGAACTTTAATTAACGTGGTTCTCAGGAGTGTCTGTAATTAAAGCACCCAGAGCATCTCGTGTATTCAGCATCCTGAGCTTCAAAATGGCAGCAGGGGGCGCTTTAACTAAAGCTCATTCAACAAACTTTAGTTAAAGTGCCCCCACCACCATTTTGAAGCACGGAGATGCTGAATACACATGACGCTAAGGCTGCTGGAGCATGCTAATTAGCGCACACCAGTAAACTTGATTAATCGATTCTGCTCCAGTGCATGCTAATTAGCATGCATCAGAGCAGGCATCCGGCACATGTGTAGGGGCCCTTAGAGACTAGCTTCAGACTAATCAGCTGACTGCCTCTTAGCATAAAACTAGAGTAACACAGCTGGAATCAAGTCTACAGAGAACAGATCAGTTGAATAAGGAAGTGCCATTTTTATACAGTCTCTTCGAAGTAGAGCTACACTGTAAAAGTCACATTAAACAGCATTTAGCTAAAGTAGACTTAAACAACTGAGTAAATTCATCTAGCTCCAGCCAGAAGCTGTTTGTACAGCTGTGAAGCAGAACCATTAAATGTTTTCAGACGCAACGCAGTCTAACTTGGTAACATTTTGATCTTTTGTTTATGACACCTTGGTGATTCAACTGAAAGTGGCAATAATTAAGTTTTCAAACAGATTATGACTATATACTTTTGTAATAGTTTTTGTCTGGGGATAAATTATACAGGATTTAGGTTTAGGTTTACTGCAGTAACAATTATATATGAGTGAACTTGGCATGTTAATGTAAAATTGAAGTTTGAATGTATTTCTGAAAGATTTGTAGTAATTTTTTAACCTGGCACTCGTCCTTTAGGCTGGCTTGTTTGTTTTTTTAATTGCTGATATCAGATTCAGGTTGTCAACAAATAACCTTGGGCTTAAATATATGCATCATATACATACTATATAAGACTGTTAAGGTCCAAAAATATGTAGAGCCTCTGTCTCTAGATCCCAGGAGCTTGCCCATTAAATCTACATATCTTGCTATGGGTGTTATCTGTGAAATCTCACAGAATCTGTTCTCTCTCTGCAGGTCCAGTCCAGGTGCAGCAGCAAAGAAAATATCCTCAGAGCCAGTAAGTATTGCAGCCTTTCAGCCATACATTTGAACTATAACTCCTGTTTTAGATAGGAAGGGAGCAGCAAGTTTCAGTCATATTTTGGTGGAATAAGACGACAGGAAAGGGTTCATTTAAGTACCC